TTTTACTCAAGAAGTTTTTACTGAAGATCTTAATTCTGTAGTCCTTAAATTGTCTTCATATTGCAAGCTTTGTTTTTCAACAGAGCATCTGGTGCATGAGGGCATAAGAACTTCTCTCCATTTTCTCCAGTATTTCTTCAGGAGCTGACCAAGCCACATGAGTGCACAGTAGACATTCCTAAATGACTGAATCAGATGATGGTTTATACTTATTTTTGTACAGAATTGACAGTGAGTCACTGTCTGGAACTTGGCCCCAGACTTGTAAATATGAAGCCTTTGGACCACTTCTCCTTGGCCTTAGGTGGAACTGTCTTGCATACCAAGGGCTGCAGGGACATGGTAGTTTTCCTTTTCTCTTTCATATCTCTGTCAGTTAGTTAGACTTCTAGGATTCTCTACCAGTTATGCAGTTCACTGGAATGGAGTTTTCTCCTTTCTCTTCCTAAGAAAATCACACAGGCTCTTTGCTTTTGTGTTTGAATGCTAGTCTTTCCTGGTAACCAGATATGGGACAATAAAACTGATAAACTCAATCAACTTATAAACTTTTCAGACATAATTCCTGAAATATACATATTTAAACATTCAAAAGTCCTCAACTTTTATTCCCTAAAGAGAATTTCTTCCAAGTCTGCCATACCCAATCAGAAAAAGAAAATTGACATCAATTAAATTAATTTAGGTATGACTGGCTGAATAATAGCCATTGAAATATATCAAGTTCTAATCCCAGGAGTCAGTAAATGCTTCTTCATATAAGAAAAAAAGGGAGTTAACAGATAAGATTAAACTAAGAATCTTGACAAGAGATTATTCAGGTGAGCCCTAAATACAATGACAAGAGTGTATTTAGAGGAGAGAGACAAAGGGTGATTTGATATGCAGATAGAAAAGAGAAGGCAATCAGACCATGGTGACAGAGATGAGAGAGATGTAGCCAGAAGCTCAAGAATGCTATTAGCTAGCAGAAGCCAGAGGAGGTAAGTGACAGATTCTCCCTGAGTAATTTGGGAAAGATTGTGGTCTTGTCAGCATCTTGATTTTGATCCAATGATACTGATGATTTTGGACTTCTGGACTTCAGAAGTGTGAGAGAATAAATATCTGTTGTTTTAAACCATGAAATCTATACCAATTTATTACTCTGGCCTCAGGAAACTAACACAAGTGCCCACTTTCTTCAAATGTTTATCATTAGACCTATGTGGTAGGTGTCACCTGGATCATTGTGTGCTCACTCTGTTCTTCCCTTTCTAGTAGTTGATTTAGCAAGCTGAGCAGACACTTCTTGTGTTACTGGAGAGTTACACTTAAAAAACTGAAATTTGAGAAAGGCACAGAAAGAAGGATGATATATTAACCACGAATCATTCAGTTAATAACCATAAAGCTGAGTGTTGGAATAAAAACTGAGTAAGAGGGCCGGGGATTTAGCTCAGTGGTTTCGCTGCCTGCTGCGCAAGTGCCAGGACCAGAGTTCGATCCCCGGTACTGAAAAAAAAAAAAAACTGAGTAAGACAGTAGGCTGACCCTAAGAAGTTCAGTTTGTTAATCAAATTAGACAGACACATGCACGTAATTAGTATATGGAAAATGCAGTAATAATTGTGCATACAGAGTACTATGATCACACTAAAGGGTGAGTCTGTGTGTATATGGCAGAGTGGGTCAGAAGAAGCTTCATAGGAAGGTATGAACTTGAGCTGAAACAGAAAAAATGGAGGAATAAAGCAAGCGGATCAGGTAAACTTTCTTCACATTTATCCCATGCATTTCATATTTTGAAAGACCCTTTCTACAAAAATTTTTTTCAATAGCTTCTGTGTTTTTTGAGTAACAAGTAGTAGGTCAAGAACATCTAATTGACAGTTTATAATCAGCATATGATAATCAATATTACATTATAAGCTATCATTATTTCAACCAAGAGCAAAGATATTTGTCATTTGAGGGTTTCTTTTGTATGTATGTGAATTCTTTTCCTGGCAAAGGAGTGATTTTCATCATAGTATCTGAAATATACTGATACTGCTACAGGACTCTCTCATTACTTTTAAGAATGCTCATTGGGCCAGGGATTTAGCTCAGTGGTTCTGCCGCCTGCCTGGCAAGCACAAGATCCTGAGTTCGATCCCCGGTACCAAAAAAAAAAAAGAAAAAGAATGCCCATACCTAGCTCAGGAAAGACACTACTTACCCTAAATAATCTGGCTTAGAGAAAATTATATTGCATAAAACCTCCTTAGTGAATGCTTCTTCGTAATACTACAATACCTCTGTCCCTTGAAGATGGCTTGCAGTACTCTTTCTTTGCATGTCAACATAAATAGAACCTGGACTCCTTTCAGGGAGCTATAAAATAATAGTGATGAATATAATCAACATTTGTATGAATTTGATTATTTTACTAAAGGATTTTAATAAAATGTTATGGTTTATATCTAAAATGTCTTCCTGAAATCTCAAATGTCAAAAGTAATTCTTTGGAAGGTGATTGGACCACAGGGGTGCCATATTCATCAATGGAGTCATCCACTGATAAGTTCACAGCTGAATGTGCTGTTAGAGGTACAGCCTGATTGGAAGAGGTGGGTCACTGGATGGGTGACTTGGAAGTTTGTGTTCGTTTCTCTTTGCTTCTTGGCTGTTCTAGGTTGAGCAGCTTTCTTCTGCCTTGTCCCTCTAACCACCACACCATTTCTGCTTTGGAGCCAGCTCACCATGGACTGAACCCTCTGAAACCATGAATCTAAATGAATTTCTTAAATTATGTATGTCAGGTATTTTGTCCAGTCAATGAAAAGTCTGACCAATACGTAAGTCAACAGATGCAATCAGATCTTGGGCTTTCTTTACAGAATACAAAATAATAGTGATAAATATTGTAATCAACAATCATATTGCATTTTATTATTTTATTAAAGTATTTTATAAAATGCAAATTTCTTAATCTCTTTTAGCTTGTTTTTTACATTTAAAGGGAGGGCACTAATATCTGAAGAACTGCTTGAGAACTGTAATTTCTATATACTAAATATCAAAGTCAGTACCTGATACTTAGCAGGTACATATTCATAGCTGGATCAGTTTATTTATTAGTATTAATTATTATTATTTATTATTATTTATGGTAGTAGTGGTAGTACTGGAAATTCAACCCAAGGCCTTCACACTGAGCTACATCCCCAACCCTGTTTTTATTTTTTATTTTGAGACATAGTCTCACTAAATCACTACGTTGTCCAGACTGGTCAATCTTGCGAACCTCTTGCCTCAGCCTCCCAGAGTGCTGGGATTTCAGGTGTGTGCTTCCATGCTTGTCTAGGATCCATTATTTTTTATCTTTTGTCTGTTTTGTTGTCATTTTTCTGGAAGTAGCACAACTTTTAGCAATTGTCTTTTATGGCACTATTCTCCAATTGCCTTACTCTTGTCAGTACATTGCGGGAATCCATCTATTTTGCAACCAACACTCTTGTTTCCATATACTGAAATTAAAGTTCTAGGAGAACTACTGTGCACCAGTATTTAACCTTTGTCCTATGGTGATACTCTTGTTTTTTCATGAGCTCTTCTCCATCTCCTTTAGGCATCATATGGTCAATGACATCACAGTATTGTTCATGAATATTATACTCTCTAGCTTTAGAAAGAGTTGGGTTAATTTTTAAATTTGATCGTGCATGAAAACAGAAAGGTAAAATGAGTTGACAGACTATTAGGAAATTGAGAAATTTAACTTGAACTTATTTTGGATTCACTGTAACTTTTCAAACTGAAAGTTTATTTATTTATTGGCTTTTTTTATAGGGTATGGCTATGCAGTCCAGACTGGCCTTGAACTCACTATGTAGCCAAAGTTGGCCTTGAATTTGCAGCGATCCTCCTGCCTCAGCCTCCCCAGTGCTGCGATTACAGGCGGGTGCCACCACGCCCATTTTGAAAGTTGCAATCATTAACCAGTTCATTAAATTAATTGTGATGATTGCATTGCATGGAGTGTGGTCATGAATAGCGTGCTAAATGTAGTTTTGTTTCACCAAAGAAAGAGCTAAACCAGGTGCCATGGTGCACACGATAATCCCAGCTATGAAGATGGCTGAGGCAGGATTGTAAATTGGCGGCCACCCTGGGCAATTTAGTGAAACCCTGTTTCAAAATAAAAAACAAAAAGGCTCCGATAAAGTATTCTTTGTTCTACCCCTAGTATATCCAAAAAGTCGTGCGATTATGTTGCTAGTGGTAAACTTTTTCTGTCACTTGTTTGTTGTTTTAATGAATCTTTATCAAACACCTATTAAGCATCAGACATCATTCTGTATGAATGATTGAATGATGTGCCCTCCCTTCCCTAATATTGATGGAGATGTTTTGTAGCCTAGGTATTCTGTGTCAATTCTACACTTGTCTCATCCTTCACTGGGCCTCTGATCAAGGCTGAGAGGCTTCCTATTGCCATAAAGACTTTGAAACTAGGTACTAAAACACAAGTTCCGAAATAGAGGAAATCTGAACTTCTCTAAAGCCTCTGAGAATTACGTCAGAATTAACCAGTTACTCCCGGGGTTCCTTGTATTCAGCAGTGTTTTAGAAGTGTCCACCAAGCCCAGGTGGGGTGGCTGTGGGGATAAGGGAGGGAGAAGTCTGCAAAGGGACTTCAGGGGCGGCTGTCCGCAGGTAGGACGCGCAGCTGAGGCCCGGGACAAAGGGGACTGTAGCACACCACAGGCTGTTTCCGGCTTAACTTTCCCTACGAAGGCTCATTTGAGTTGAACTCTTTTGGGGGAAAACAACCAGCCCAAAAGAACTTGGTGTGCGTGCGTGCATGTGTGCGTGTGTGTGTGCGCGCGCGCGCATTTTCAGCTGGCCCTTCGCTCTGCACCTGGGCGTCCCCTCAGGGGCGAGGCAGGCTCGAGCTGCAGGGGACGCCCCCGAGCTCCCAGCCGCTGCAGACAAAGGGCGGCACGGCGCTGCGGACACGCGCTCCGAGCGCGGCGGGCGGCTGGGGCGCGGCGCGGTGCAGCCGGGGCGGACTGGGGAGCCGCTCTTTCCCTCTGACCGCAGTCTCTTGCCCCCCGAAGGCCGCAGCGCCGTCACCGCGGCCCTGGCCGCCACCGCTTCTTCTCGGGCCGGCCGGCGGGCCGAGCGCGCAGCACGGGGCGGCATGGCTGTGTCCTGGAGGAGCTGGCTGGCCAACGAAGGGGTTAAACACCTCTGCCTGGTAGGATGGCGGGCCGGGCGCCCCTGTCTGTCTCTCGCCTCGACTTGATGAATTCCGGGAGCGCGCGCGGGTGGGCAGCTGGAAGTGGAAGTTTTGTCTCCAATTCGAACTTTCTCAACTAACAAAGTTTTTGCTGTTAAAACTCAAGAGATGACAGTGACGCCCCCTCCGCATTCCCTATGTTTGGGAACTTCCTTACACATAGATGGGAGAGCGGATGTATAGATGTAGAGGAGAGAAGAGATTACTTAAGTGAACACAGTTTTTCCTTAACCCTTTAGATATTTTTTCCCCCTTTGTTCTTTTTCTCAGAATGGTTTGCTTAGGACAGAGTGATGCCACTCATTTGAAGTCTTATTTTGTGCTTCACGGGATACCTGCAGATCATCCTATTTGGGAGATGGGAAAGGGCAGTTGCCACCCAAATGCTTATTCTTAGGTAGGAGGGACTGGTTAGGGCCAATTCTTCCTGAGTGGTTTCCAGCTTTCTGCTTAATTGGGAATGCTTTCTGCCATCACCTATTGCTGTTGCATTAAAAGTACTATGTCCAGAAAATGTGTTTGGTGGCCTCATTCCTCGTGTGATGTTATTTTTAATTTTTGTTTTCTCCGTCCTTTTGATTGTTTTTAGCTTGTTTGGCTCTCCCTGAATGTCCTGCTGTTTTGGAAAACCTTCCTGCTGTACAATCAAGGGCCAGAGTATCACTACCTTCACCAGATGTTGGGCGTAAGTGGAACTTGGGTGATGTGTTGGAAGGGGTTTAATGCAGCAGACATTGTCACAAGACATAGGTTATACCTATTCATCAAAGAAACATTTGTTGTACGCTTCACAAACTTTTGTTGATTTCTAACATAGTCAAGTTTTCTTGATTTGTCAGTTCACTCTTGTCTAGGTAAGAAAGATTGATTCTTTTTGAAAAGGCTAAAGATAACATCTGCTAAAGTGAAATGAATGAACCTGCCAGACCAGGCTATTAGTGCCTGAGAAAGTTGCTTTTTTCAAAACTCTAAAGTGCCCTGGAGGCTTTGCTTCCCTGGAAGATCAACCCGTGAGGGCTTTTAGTTTTCACTTATCAAGGCTTTCAGCCTGCTCATCAGTTTATCCAGAGGATTTCTACACTGTTTTCTTTTACTGAGGGTTCTCACAAAGTACACGTTGAATGCAGTTATTCATTTCTGGGTAGTTCTCAGTTGCTTGCTTTAGGTTAGCAGCTGATTGTGGTTCAGGTATTTTGGTCTAATAATGAGAAAGACATTGTGCAAAACTTGGCTCTGATTTTCTTCATGTAGATATTTTTCTTTTCTCTGTTCTGATCTCATCCTGTTTTCTAATCTCATCCTTCTTTTTTGCCATTTCCTATTTGATCCCTTATCAAAAGACAGCTTAACTGATGACATTTTACTTTGTATAGGAGATTGCAACAAGCAAAAAATCTAAAATATATTGCAAAAGATTAGGGAATCTGAACAAGCAGATTTGTCATTTTTTTTCATGGAGGAAGAAAACACATTTTAAAGAGGAGAGATATTGCTGTTTTCCATAGTTCAGTGACTATTTAAAATTACTTCAGATTAATTTAATGGAACTAGCTCTCATTTTTTTACATATAGAAGGTTTATTTGCCTTTAAATCTCAGTACCCCAAATAGTGACTGGCACATAGTAAGCCTGCATTAAGTTTCAGTTAAATTAATATTAATTGATTTTTTTTAACAACGCAATGCCATTTTTCATCACCAATAGTCACACTATTGTTTAATTATTTCATACCTGTGTTTTCAGCTATGGGTTGAGGCAAAGTAGTCTAAACACAAACTCATTTTATTGGAAATTATGAAATCTAAACACTTATTTCATCCATCTAATTTCTGTCCAACCATCCAGAAACTTATAAAATCTGTACTTTTTTTTTTTTTTTTTTGGTTTTGAGGGTTGAACTCAGGGCCTTTGCACTAAGCTACATCTCTAGCCTCCCTTTTTCTTTCTTTTTGTAATTTTGAGACAAACTCTGGCTAAGTTACTAAATTATTCAGGCTGGGTTCAAATCCTCCTGCCTCAGCCTTTCAGAGTGGTGGGATTACAGGGAGGGATGGGCCACTATAGTGGGCTTGAAACCTATGCTTTTCTAATGGCACAGAGAATAAAACCTTATTCCTCCCCTCTACTTGCATATAATTTAATTGGAAAACCAATGAATAAGCAGTTATAATTCAAAAAGCAAGAATTTTTTTCTAATAAACTTACTAGGTCTGCTAGCCTATCATTCTTATTTTATTTCCTGGAAATTTGCCATGTGGTGTGAATTAATGAACAGAACATTTTTTTTCCAATGGAAAATTTATCTGACTTCTTATATAACTTGATGAACAACTTGAAGAAAACTTTTGAGAATTACAGTGGTAAAATTTGTTCTGGATCAGTAGGTATTTGTGTTAATATAAAATCTAAGAATTGGAATCTTATTGCAATAACTTGGAAAGCTCTAGTTGAACTTTGGATTTTAGCTCTGTAGCACAATATAAGCTAAAATAAAAATTTATTTTTAAGAAGACTAATTATGTTGGAAACAAACAAGTTAACTTTTATAAGCTTGTATGCTGTGTAACTTCAAATTTATTGCGGTTACAAGTCAGATAAGATGAAGATTACACATATATACATGCATATGTGCATTCACACACACACACACACACACACACACACACACACGGCCCAATAAATTTTTAAAACATTTAAAAATATTTTCTACCCCTCTTCTTCCATCCTACTTTAGTGTTTTTTTTTCGATGGTGTGACAAGCAGGGGAGGCCCAAGAACTGCTGACACTGGGGCCTCAGTGAATACTAATGAAGTGAATGAAGAAGGATACTGATAAAAGGTCCACATGCAAAAATGGCAACAAACTGATAGAAAGGGCATTGAGTTACTTTTCAAGGAAACATAAGACTAATCAAGTGAGGTGATCTTCAAGCCATCTAGTGAGGATTCAATATTTTATGAGAGTACTTGTGAAGAGGAATGATGTTCCTTCTTGACATCATGCTGAGAGATGATTTCTGACTTTCAAACTCTATCTTTTCGAGAAATTTCCCATTTGAATTTTCTAGTCATCAATTAATCTAAACCATTTTAAAATATTTCAATTAATATATACTTTTTAGTAAAAAAGGAACTCCTGTACTTTTACAATTTGCTTTATGAAAGAGTATCTATTTATTTTTGGCTTATACTTCTAATCTTTTTTTTTTAATATTTCTAATCTTATAGCTGTGGTATGGAATAACAATTTTCAAGCACTTTTCAAATTGCAAAAAAATGCAGTGCAACAAAGAGATAAGTTAATTTTAAAATAAATATTGCTGGTCCCCGTGTTTTACTTCTTTAATAACTATAAAGTGTTAGTTTAATGTTTTAGAGCAGTGCATATTAGAGCTTATCAAACACTCAGTTTGACTATGACAGAAATGTAGAAATCCTGAAGAGGATATAAATATTCTGATATGGTAAGTTTCTTTTACATCCACAGAAACTTTACAAAATCATGATGATATTTCTGGAAATCAATTTGTACCATTTAAAAACAAATGAAAATAATACATTTATCTGTTTTCTGGACATTTTGATAATAGCATTAAGTGTAAAGGTTATTGCCATCTATCTGTAAAGTGTACTGTGGTAACAAAGTTACCCTAATACTGGAAGGGTCCACAGAGTAGATCTCATTTGCAAGGAGACATAGAAATAGAGAAGCAGTAAGTTTTTTTGTAATTGCCTGAGATTTGTGCTTGGTATTGAAAACAATTAGTCATTCAACTGTTTACATGAACCTATCATATGCCAGGCATTTTACAAGTATTTTGCTTTAGCCAAGAAACAATTCTCATTTTATGTATCAAGAAATATAGGTCAAGAAAGGTGTATGACTTGCTGAAGTGTTTTGGGTGGTCAGTGCCAAAAACAGAATGTAAATGCAGTCCTTTCTGATCTCTGCTTTTCTCTCTTAATGTACACTTTTTAAACCATTTCACTGGCTCATCTCAGGTACTCAAGCATTGATTAATACTTCTCCATATCATTGCTGCCCAATAAAAATATAATGTAAGTCATAAAGTAAAAGAAAGCTGGAGACATTCATTAAAAACTACATTTAACCTCGTATATCCAAAATATTATTATTTTGATATATAGTCATTATTTAAAAATTAGTAAGATGTTTTACATTATTTTTTCTATTAATTACTTGGAATACACTATGTATTTTTATTCCCACACATATAACAATTCAAGTCACTAAATTTTTACAAGGAATACCAAATCTTTGGTTTTTTTTTTTTTTTGGTACCAGGGATCGAACTCAGGACCTTATACTTGCAAAGCAGGTGGCAGAACCACTGGGCTAAATCCCTAGCCCTCCAAATCTTTGTTTTTAATCTCATAAAATTTACGAGTGAAAAAGCAGATTCACATACATACCTAATGTGCTTCAACATCATTTAATAATACAAATGAGTTCCAGGTAGTCCCAGCTACTCTGGAGGGTGAGGTGGGAGGATTATTTAAGTCAAAGAATTTGCGCCCAGCCTGAGCAACACAGTGAGACCCTGTTTCAAACAAACACACATTTAAATTATTAAAATTACTAAACCTAAAAATTAAGTTCTTTGATAACCATAGGTACATTTAACATATTGAATGGTTGTGTATGGCCAATAACTTTCATTTTGGACAACTCAAATACTGGTTTTGGGAAAGATATTCTCACCTCACCTGTATGGCCATCTAAAGCTATTTTGTTTTCAAGTGGACAACTAACCAGCCAACTAGCTCAATAAAAAATATATCAGGATATAGATATTTGGTCCTCTACAAAATATGAGTTGATATTATTAGATGGAAAATTGTGGGCTCTATTTGCGGCATAATATAAAAACCTCTCAAACTTACGCCTTATTCTCTGTGCTTTCTGGGGGTGAGGTCTTTTAAAAATGAAGTGTGAAATTGTGTCATGCACATGTACCAATTCCCCACGATGATTGTAATCGTTATGTACTGTAACATGTATCATGAATATTCTTTGCCAGACTGGTACCATCTAGAGTAGGAGGCATTTGGTCACGGTTGGTTTATGCCTGAGTTAATGTACTAATCAGATTGTACACTTTCTAGGAGATGTTTAATTAGGACATGCTCTGAGTTTTGGAATCTATAATGGGGTAAGAGAAAAAAAATGCCTTGAGGGAAAGTCAGAACAAGCATCAAAACATACAAAGCAATTAACAACCCGTCTACTCTCTTATAGCAATCTTTTAAATAAAAGACATCATTGGTTGAGATGAAATCTGTTTTTTTTATTTTAAAGAATGGAAAATAAGTTACTGTTTAATAGAAAATACTGTGTTGGGGCATCTTGAGTAATTAATTTTCTGTTTTTCTCAATGTTGAGACAGTTTTAACAGAAAATCTTGCCTATGGAAGCCCTTGTATTCATCGTTACCCAGTTTTTGAGATGTAGTTTGTAGTTTGACATTAAAAAATCATTTAATTGACATAAATACTTTATGAATTTTGTCTTAGTAGATTCAATGCATTTTGGCTTTATATATTTTTCCCCTTCAAACTAACATTTGTATATTCAATTTCAACCTAGTAATGATGCCATGTTGAGAATTTAAATTTTTTGGCTTTTTCTCAGAAATGTTGTTTAGGTCTGCAGCATGGTCATGA